ACTCAACTCCTCCCCACCTCCCAATCCCCTCTCTCCACTCCCTATCCCCCCACCCCCTCCATCAACCCCACCTCCCCATCCCTGCCTTCATGTGGCTGCTTGTCTACCATACGACTGACCTCCACGCTGTCCTAACTGAGACACCATGGCTTTCTCACTTCCTTTCCTCCAGTTCCCTCCTCTAGGTATCTGCTGAGAGTTACAGTTTGCATACTTTTGAGGTTTTCTTTTCAGTTCTAATAAAATTGTACCCAAACTTCAGAAATTAATTAGTTGTCTCTTGTACTTGGCAAGCTGTTTCAAACAAACCATGTATCTTATTGAAAATAAGAATAGAATTCTCTCTCCTCTCTATTACATTGCTTTGTCAGCAATTTGCGCCAACTTTTTTCTCAGTCTGAGATCCTATGTTTGTAACGGAAGGTTCTGATGGGCGCAAGTTTTTTTTCCTGAAATGCAACCAAAATCTCAGCAGCCTTTGACTTCAATGTGTAGTTAAAATTTTCGTACCTCTGTTTGAGTTTGCATGGGTCTTGTGCATGCTGTCACCATTGCTGTAAGTTCATATGATCATGTTCCCAGAAGCTTGGAAAGCTTTGTTTCCTTGTGGTCATTCACCATCCTTGGCCCTGCTCTTACAGTCTTTCCACCACCTCTTCTGTGATGTCTCTGAGCCCTGGGTGGGACATGCACTCTACAGTCTCTCATTCCCTATACTTTGGCCAGTTTTGGTCAACTATGTTAATCACCTCTGTTACCTGAGGGGAAATGAGCAGAAGGCCCCAACCTTAATGGAGGGAGACTTCCTTCTTGAACTGGATAGGCGGACCAGGTTTCAGTGAATGAGCTCACACCAAGGGATGTCTGAGTCCACAAACTTGACTTGATAGGCATTAACATATATGACAGAATTCATGAAATCTTCTGTGCTGGGGGGGGTCTATGGGAGGATGCTTTAGTCCGGAAATTGTTTTCCTCCCAAAAGCATGGGCAGCTGAGGAGTGAGGGTCACCCTAGGAAAAGGAGTGGAGCCAGTTGAGCCACTGTGGAGTGTTAGCTGAGCCACTGCAAGATGGGGAGTGGTCAGGTGGAGAGTAAGTGGTGGTCATTTTGGGAACTGGGGGAGCGAAGCATGTGGCCCAAGAATGGCTAATGGCTAGTGGTGGGGATGCCTTGCCTGTCCTACAGGCTCTCAGGGCAGGATGAGGCAGACCTCAGGGGGTGAGATGGCACATGGGCGTGGGGCATGAAAGTGATTGGGAACGATGGGCCACCACGGGGCCTGGCTCAGCAGGGGACACAGGGTTTATGAGAAGCTGTTTCATGTAAGTTACCCCCACCCCCAAATGTCATATAAAATGGTACAAAACCCAAACTAAAAATATCTTATGTTAGTTTGTGAGTCCTGGGGCCTCAGAGGGCATGGGAGGAGCCTTCCAAGAAGGGAAAAGGGAAGAAAACTTAGTGTAACAGATGCAGTTAGGGGAAGGAGTCTAAATAAGATGCATTGTATGAAATGCACAGAAATTCAATAAAAATATTGAAAAAGAGGAAAAATGACAATGAAACTAAAGAAAACAACAAAAATTTCATACCTCAAGTATTTGATACAATTAATTAAAAAAATTTTTTTTTGCTGGGCATGGTGGCACACACCTTTATTCCCAGCACTCGGGAGACTGAGGCAAGCAGATGTCTGTAAGTTCAATGCCAGCCTAGACTACATAAGGAGTTCCAGATCAGACAGGGCTACTTAGTAAAACTCTGTCTCTAAAAACAAAATATGCAAAACAAAAGAAATCAAAATGACAAAACATTTATTTTGTTTTAAAAGACATTTTTATTAATTCTTTGAGAACATCACACAGTGTATTTTGATTATATTCTCCCCTCTCCCAACTCTTTCCTGGGGGTGGGTGAGGTGTCTGCTAGGAGAGAAGGAGGGGGGACAGGGGGAGGGACAGATGGGGGACAGGTCAGTGTTGATATTTGATTGGTGGGATGGGGGTGATCCTAATTCACTAGTAACCAAGAAAGCAGGCAATGTATCTCTTGACTGGGTCTGTCTGTGCAGACAGGCTGCACAACCCCAGTTAGGAGTGTGGAGATGGCCTCCAGGGCAGGCAGTGTTCTATAAAATGAGCACAATAAGCAGAGAGTGAAGGTAGAGTGACCCTAGCTAGGCCTGGGAATATGGAAAGGGAGAGAACAAATGCCTGCATTGTGGGACTCACCAGTCTGGAAAATTACTTTTATCTTTCTTAAATTCTGTTTGTTCAATGTGAAATTTTGATCCCGGGATAATATACAAAATGTTTTAAAATAGATTTTATGGAAAGGATACGTGACAATAGTAGAGCAGTCAGATAAGGAGCTTGTTTGATCAATATCTGTTAATATATTGGGAACTATCCTTTGAAAAGAAAGAGCAAATAACAGGGATTACTTTGAAGAATGTTGAAAGTTCAGCCAAATCCAAAACAACCCGAAAATTTTCTAAAAGTATCATACATTGTGGGATCGGAGAGATGGCTCAGTGGTTAAGAGCACTGGCTGCTCTTGCAGAGGACCTGGGTTCGGCCCTTAGCACCCACATGGCAGCTAACAACTGTCCATAATTCCAGTTCTATGGGAGCTGATGCCTGCTTCTGACCTCTCTGGGCAATGCATGATACTGGTGCACTTACATACATGCAGGCAATATATTCATACACATAAAGTAGAAATAATAAAAAAAATGCAATCCAGTAGA